CAGCAGGGAGGGAGGGCGGGGAGGGAGAAAGGATGGAGAGAGGAGGGATGAAGGAAGGGTGGGGAGGATAAAGGGAGGGAGGGTGTACAGGAAGAAGGGAAGGAGAGTGAGGAGGGAGGGGAGGAGGCAGGAGGGAGGGTGAGGCCTCCAGCCCCTCTGCCCTGAGGCCAAGGCCCCTAGTAGGTTCTCACTGCTCTCCAGCGCAGGGAGAAGGGGAAGGGGGGTGCGAGACCTGGGGTCTCAGCGCCCCACCCAGCTGTGCGTTGCAGGGCTGGTCTGCCTGGTCTGCTTCCTGTCTGCCACCTGCTTCACGCTGCAGTCCGGAAACTACTGGCTGGAGATTTTCGACAGTTTCGTCGCCTCCCTGAACCTGATCATCTTTGCCTTCTTTGAGGTCGTGGGTGTCATCTACGTTTACGGGATGAAACGGTGAGCCTCTCCCGCCCTGAGCTCCTTGGGGACTCTGCCAGGTGGGGCGGGCCAGCTGCAGGGACCCCAGGCTCTGTCCTGGGCCAGTCCTGGTGGCCTTTGGCTCCGCAGTGGACCTCAAAGGGCTGCATGGGGCACCTGAGCTGAGTCTCGTGCAGGTTCTGCGACGACATTGCGTGGATGACCGGGAGGCGACCCGGCCTCTACTGGCGGGTGACCTGGAGGGTCATCAGCCCCCTAATGCTGCTGACTGTCATCGTGGCCTATATCAGCCTCCTGGCCCGGAAGCCACCCACCTACAGGGCCTGGGACCCCCAACACGTAAGTCCTTCTAGGGAGGCTGGGGCCCTCGGGCGTGGAGTGCTGCGGGGTCATCCAGGCCTGGGGAACCCACACGGTGCACAGTCACCCTCTTGCAGCCCCATGGTCACTTCTGCCTGGATAGCCGGGGTGAGGACAGGAGCGACTCTGAGGCCTGAGACTGTGGCGCCATGTTCCCATTGCTATCAGAGGTGACACTGAGAAGGCCTGGCAAGGGCCTTGGTCAGTGGAATGTCTGAGCCATGTCCAGACCCTGGGGACACCACAGGCCCCTCCAGCCCCTCCCTCAGGGAGGTGGCCTTGGACCAGGCTCGTCCTGCAATGTGGAGGTCGGCGGCCTAAACCTCCCTGTCCAGATCAGATGAGGGATGTTGCACGCACAGGGTGCCCCTGAACGGCCCCTTAGCCTGGTCATTTTGGCTTGTGGCTCTTTCTGTGCAAGACGCTCGAGGAGGGAGCGCCATGTCGGCTGTGCTCTGAAAATCCCCCCGCACCTTGCCTGTGCCACCCTTCTCAGGAGAGTGGGCCCAGTTCCCCCCACTTGCCCTCGAGCCCTGCAGGGGAAAGGGAAGGACGCTGCACTTCCTGGAGTAAGTTCACGGACATGGCACAGTTGACTCCATGGCACAGCCCTGTGCAGCCTCTCAAGAAGCACCTGCAGGGGCCGCACCGTGTGGAGCCAATAGCACCCCATCTCAGAGGGCAGGAACCTGGGGACATGGGTCCAGCCAGGCCCCAGAGTCAAGGCCATGCAGCCCTTAAAGTTAGGCCGGCCTCTCCTCCACCCAATGCAGCGAGGCTCCGCCCAGTGCCCACACCCCCCCAGGGGAGCAGCAGCCAGTGGCCACAGCTTCACCCTTTCCATTCTCATCGACCTAGAGCACCTGGGCTCCTGCCCTCTCAGTTCAGGAAGAGATGCAGGATGCTGCCAGGCAGCCGAACTCCTGGTGCGCTGAGGACCGGCCCGGTCCAGGGTGGCCCGTGGCCTGGGCACCATCCCTGCCAAGGACACGCAGCTCACCGCGGGGTCTGTGTCCACAGGCGCAGTTCCCCTCGCGGCAGGAGAAGCTCTACTCAGGCTGGGTGTTGGCCACCTGCATGCTGCTGTCCTCACTGCCCACGCTATGGATCCCGGGGGCCGCGCTAGCCCTGTTGCTCTCCCGGCAGGGGCGGAG